TTTTAAAACTTTCCAGCTGTTGGTAACAACAGCAAACATGCTTTCAGGGAGCCCGGAACAGTGAGGTTTGGCTCTATAATTTCTTTAACAAAACATCCCAATTAAAAGGACAATCCCATAAGGAATTGGAGTTTTTCTACAAGTTACTGTTGATCCTCACAAGGATTAAGCCAAGTGGAGGATGCAAGAGGAATTACAGAAGTCACGGAAGAAGAAGGGATTGCTTTGAACTGTCTGTACTTCCTACTGTCTCTCCTGAGTTACTGTCAGGGCTCAGCTACCACCCTAACGAGTAGAACATCCCCTTGGAGTTCCCCAGGAGACTCTAAGGCAAGAGGGAAAAATTTTATGTAACAGGATGCACCTAGGGAGGGCTAACACTGCACTTCCCTCCCAATAGAGGTTTCCTTGACTACCGCAAAGAATGCTTCCCATTTCTGGTGGTTTCCAAAATGGCTGCTTCCCCCTTATCTATTATTGAAGGGAAATCAAAGCAATTCTATACGGAAATATCTGATTTTAGGACTCAAAACTTTCCTACATTAGCCATGAAAGCTATATAGTAGAAGCTGCTTATATCTTATTTTATGATTTAAACACTTACATGAATGAGTTGAAATGAGATGACTATTTAAAGAAAATTCCCTTAGCTTAAATATATATTTACATTTATATTTCTGCATTTACGTATGGAAATAGAACAAGCCATCAGGCTGTGTATTCTTTGGAGCTATTTATGACCACTTCTGAGCTTGTCCATTTGTCCAAATACTGATTCCTACCAAGGGTAACGCTTTTTAAGATTTGAATGATGCATTCAAGATAAGAAAAACAGGAGGAAGGAAGAGAAATTGAAATCAGTTTAGAGGAGTATCAGTGAAAAGAGGTTATGGGTCAATAAATTACAAAGGCCTTAGGACCAAATATATATGATCCTATTAATTTCTTACAGCCAACGAAACACCGTTTGACAAAGTAGGTGAACCATATCTGTTGCACACTCATATAGTTAGTGCCCTAAAATGGCTGTTTCTATCATGTGTTAAGAGTGAACAATTTCAAGTCATAATCCAGAACAGTATTATGCATAAGAAGCGTCAATTCCATTAGTTTTCTTCTATTAATTTTTTATTTACCTTTTTGGATTGCTAACATGTACACTAAGGACAAGGACAAGGATTGTCTAAGTAAGTATAATCCAAATAAAGAAGTGAAAGAATAAGAAAAGGGGTATTATTTGAAATGTGTTAAGATAATTGACTGGTAAATGAATAGCACTTGGATGAGTGAGGATGCATTTTAAACTAATCACGGCAGAAATAATTTTTTTAAAGGCCTTTTTGAAGAATATCTACTATGCTGTCCTACACACCCTCCTTGTAATCTTTTTTTAAAATGTTAGTTATTTTTTTGAGAGAGAGAGAGAGAGAGAGAGAGAGAGAGAGAGAGAGAGAGAGAGAGTGTGAGCGGGGGAGGGGCAGAGAGAGAGAGAAAAGCAGAATCCGAAGCAGGCTCCAGGCTCTGAGCAGAAAGTCCGATGTGGGTCTCGAGCCCACAAGCTGTGAGATCATGACCTGAGCCGAAGTCAGAAGCTTAACTGACTGAGCCACCCAGGTGCTCCTATCCTCCCTGTGATCTTAGTCAACCTCCTTTTCCTGAAGTTTTTAGTTCAAGCACTTTTTGTTTTCAAGAAGTCTTTTCAATCATTGCAGCCATTACCTGTTTATCTCTCAAGATAACTGTTTTATCTCTTTCATGTTTGTACTCCCCATGACGGGGCACACTATAAGTTCTTAATTATATTTCATAACAAATGCATCAATACTCAAGAAAGGAAAAAAAAGTAAGCACGAATGTTGCATGCAGAAGAGGGGCATTATTAAGCCAAGAGTATAGAGATGTTCAAAAAATCCAATTAGGCAGTATTTATTAAGACTCTATTCATGACCAAAGCATAGAGATTCTCGATTAAAACAGATGTATGGATTGGATTATATTAAGATTGCATGGATATAAAAAGCAGACAGTTAAAACTTCTGTTTTGCGCTATCCCAGGGGCTGTGATTTTACATTTTGGTTCCACTAGATTGTGAGTCATTTGGAGTGAGAAGAAAGAGCACATAAGTCAAGTGGAGAGCCCCATCCATCCTGGATATTTTATAGGACCTTCGGCACCTCTGCTCCATTTATTTTCACTCCTTCCAGTAAGAGATATAGTCCCTTAGGTTTGGGTAAATGATATGACCTCATTTCTTAGAATCTTCTGCCTTGAATCACTGTCTTTTATTGTCACTGGGTCAGTTCTAGAGGATTAGTGGAGGCTTTCCTACGATGGTCTGTATTGGACATTCGACTTACAAAACTAGGTCCTGAGTTTCAGATCCACAATTTCTACCTTAATGACTTGATTAAGTTAGTTTAACTTTCTTAGCTTAAGTTACTGTCCTTTGAAAGTAAGGCTAATAATATATACCTCATAAAGGTAAATGAGAGGATAAAGGACAAGTATATAAACTTTCAAAGTTATTTCTCAAGTAAATAGAAAAGTAAGGTATTATGTAGTTTATCAGAATTGTCCTTTTTATTCCTTAAATAAAGCAGAGCACATCCTCATGTCTTTATACCAAGCCATCCTGACCTCCTCCCCATACTTCAGCCAACAATTGGGCTCTAGCCTCAGGATGTCTGTTTTTGCTATTCTACCTGGAGGGCTCTTGTCTGACCTATTCCTATGGCTGCCTCCCTCACTGCCTTAAGGTCTGTGATCATATTTTACCTCATCAGAGAGATCGTCTCAGTACCCTACATAAAACAGTACTCCTAATATTTTGCTATTCCCTCTACCATGCTTTATTTTTCTTCAGAACATTTATCACTATCCACCTCTATCTCAATAAATTTATACCCCTCGAGAGTAGGGACCTTATTTATCGCTTAACCTCTGGTACCTAAAATAATGCCTGATATATATAAACCTTCCAAAAGAAATATATGTTGAATAAGTAAATACATGAATGTTCTCTAATATATTAGTGAAGGATATAAGCTTTATGAAGTGTGACTTTGTGTAGCTCCACAACTTTTCAATTTATAAAGATGAAGACAAATCTTCTAAGCCCCGAGTTTCTTTCCCAATAAAAATCTAACATTACCTCTAAGGTTGTCCTGAGTTGGCCCATGGTTGTCTAATCGAATACAATTGTTTATGCTTCAGCCACAGTAATCTCTTCAAAATGAAAACATAATTAAGTCACTATTTTAAAAAAGTCTTGTAATGACTTGCTTAGGATAAAGCACATTATTGCTTTAATGACATTCTTAGGACAAAGTTCAAGATCCTTAATTTGGTCTTGCCCAATTTAGAACCTGCTATCTTACAAACCTCAACATGTGTCATCCCTGTGTTTCAGTCTTGATGGTCTTTTTTCAGGCCTCAAATAGTATCATGGTCCATCTTGACTTCAGAACTGCATTCAACTTGCCCTCCACACTTCCTCCCTCAGTTTGTAATGTATGCTTTTGCACTCCAAACTCCTCTTCCTCCCTCCAGTCTCAGTTGAAATGCAAGCCTTCTATATGTCTGTTTGCCTATCAATTTATCTATTCATTCTATGTTGATAGATAGGATATTTCCACTACTCAACAAGGTTTGAACTATGAAATGGCAATTTCCTATGACTTCATCTGGGATGTCTGTTTTTCTTTGCTATACTTTAAACTCCACAAGGAGAAGGTCATGCCTTCTATCTACTATTATACCCTCAAAGCTACTTAGTTTCCTACGAATATTCTTTAATGTGCTGTCATGTGGTAGGAATTACCATTATTGTGGAAATGATATTTGTTGATTGTTTCACTGCAACATTAATTATTTTGTAAAGTGGAATCTATGACTACATGAAACTCATGAGTGATAGTGAATTACTTAGAGAAGGGAAAGGTCAAGAAAGAAAAATAAGAAGGAGGAGTTCAAGGAACAAGGGAAGACAAACTGGAGAGAGGACAACGCAAGAACTGGGATGAGAATAAAAATGAGGGAAGGAGCAAGAGAGCAAAAGGAGACGAAGGGAAGGGACATAGAAATGTTCATGTTGCAGTAACTTGGATGCTTTCAGGTCTGCCAATGAAGGAGTAAGAGTATTTCACTGTCAGTGATTTAGACAGTCTCATTTTCAATACATATGTGGTTTGTTTTTTTGGTCTCGGTTTTAATCCCTTAGCTTAAGTGTACTGATCATAACTAATTTCTTTTTCAAATACCTCTTCTTTTCATAAATTTCTACTTCTTTAATTTGTTAATTCTAATTCTTCATCATATATTTCTGCTTTATTATTTACACTTTCTTTCTGTTGCTTGTATTACCCATTCCTCTTGATTTTTTTCCTATCAGTCATGATGTTTTCATTTCAAACACTATTTCTCATCTTCTAATTTTGAAGATTTTGCTTATATTTAAATTACTGATATATGACTTTTATAAAAATCTCAGTATCTCATCCACAAATGTCTTAAGACAACTAGGCAGATTATTAAGCAAACAAGTCAGATTATTCCTGGTTTTAAAAAGATGAAATCTCAAATATTAACGACCATATCACAAGCAAACAAAAAATACATATTGCTATTTTGCAGAAGCATCATAAAAGGGCAAGGGTAAAGTAATTGTATTTCATGATTATTATCAGGAATTGTAGCAATTCCTATGAAGAAAATGTTAAGGTTGATTATTCAATAAGATGAATTTAAAAAACATAATTTCAAATTATCCTGAAAAAAATAACCCATGAAGAATGTAATTAATGCATAATTTTATATGGTATTGTTGAAGAATCTACTGAGGATTTTGTATTTTATATTTTGTTTTGTCTTGCATTGAATGATATAGAAGGAATAAATATCCCCACTGTTGGAGTTCATCAACTTCTAATAAGGGAGCCTTTGAAGCTGAAGTAACAAAGAAAATAGAAATCAAAGTGACAGTGATTGGGATCGGTCTTACCATCCAGATCATTCTCAGGAGTCTCTGCTGTATACCAGTTGGAAGGTGGTCCAGTGCCATTGACTGTCATGGCTGACACTTGGAAACTATACTGACTTCCTTTCTCCAGTCCTATAAGAGAATGTTCCAGAAAGGGGAAAAAAAGTTATTGAATAAAAAGAATTTCTAGCTTATTTTCAAGAGTTTTCAAAACAGTAGACATCTTTACATGGTTTGTGATTGTTGTGGTGATTATTATTTTGGCCAAAAGGGCAGAAATAGTACAGCAAGAAATCAAATTATTTTTTACATATTCTCATTTATTTTTTCCTAGTTTATAAAAATGTATCCCTGAAAATAGCTTCAGGGCAGATGCAGAATATAAAATATGAACGATGAAGAAATAATCAAAAATAGCAAGGATCATTTTTTCTCACAGTCTAGAAGAGGCCTGTCTATAAATCAAGAACAGTCATCCTAAAAATTTATGTCTCCATCATTTATTCAAGGTCAGTGATTATGTTTTCTTTGAGCCAAGAAAGAAGAATCCAAAGCCACAGCACTTAAGCAGAAAATACTAGGCCTTTTATCACAAGGCATACTTTATTTTGCATCACTGTCCATACTAGAAGCATGAAGAAAGTCTATCTCCATGATAACTTGGGCATATAATATTGTACATCAGGGCTTATTTTTTAGAGAGCACACAGAATACAGGTTGATGAGAGATGGCCCATGGATCATTAGTGTGATATGTATAAATTTTTATGTAAGTAATAGTCCTTTTAGCTAAATCTCAAGCAGCTCATTACCATGACAAATTATTGTAAAACAAATTACACTTGCTAAAAAACCATGTGACTTTCTTCAGACAATGAGGACTTGGCTTAAACTGACAAGTCCTTAAATCTCCAAAGTTGAACAACTCTGGTAGATTTAAATTACAATCTATATTTTGTTAATCTAAAATGGCACAAATATTTGGTAACAAGAAAGATTCATAAAGAAAATAAACTATTGGAGAAATGATGCTTATCATGTACACAGTTACAAATTTGTATATTTTTGCGTAGGCAGATGAGTAAATCTTGGTCTTTAGGGGAATTCTAATTTATTATTAATTGGAGACAATGTTTTAAGTGATGGTTAGATGGACTTGTTAACGTCCATAGCGGTTACCTTCAATAAATTATACTATTAGAGAAGACAATTTGATAAATTCACCCACACAAAAGTATCTATGACACAAAATGCTGTCTCTTTAAGAGGCTTCTAATTTTATAAGATAGACTAGAAGCTCCATAAAGAAATAGACTGAGAATAGTTAGAACTGTTGCTGTTTTTGTTATTACTGGTATTTTATCTATATACCCATAGATTCCATTACACTGCCTGACAATGGAATGCACACACACAAAGCAGCTGTTGAAAGATCCGCTAAGGAAGCACTTAACATACCCAAAAATACTAGGTTAAAATATAATATCTAACATCATTAGGAAGGCAGCAAATGGATGCTTTTGAACAAAAGGCCTTTGTCACGGCTCAATAGGTTTGTGCTCACTTTGATTTGTCCCTTAGTTCACATGATGTTGATCTGAATTTGTTAACATTTTGCACCTTTTCATAGGCACCATTGTTAATTACTAAGGCAAAGGGATTGTGGATTGATTATAGTTTCCAGGACATTGAAAATAATAGGGAGACAATTCTGGGAACAAATGCTTACCTAATCATTGTACCTCATGGCTCTCATAGTGGTCTTATCTGACATAGTTTTAGACCATCAAGAATATATTCTTTTATATTAAGTAAAATTTAATTTTATTTTTCTTTGAAAAGGATGGGCAATTGTATTAATACCATCTCCACCAGTGATTAGGAATACCATCTGTAATGATCAGTTTTATTCAACTTGGTTAGACTGAAGTCCTCAGTTTTCAAACACTAATTTAAGGTGTTATATTATAGATGTGACTAAAGTCCATATTCAGTTGATTTTAAGCAAAGGATATTATCTTAGATAATTGGGGAGGGGGCAGATTCAAACCAGTGAAAGTTCTTAAGAGCAGAAGTAAGGCTTCCCTGAAGAAGAAATTTCACCCGCAGACAGCAACTTTAGCCCGAGAATTTCAGCCTGCCTTTCTTATGCCCTGCTCTGTGGATTTGGAATGGCCTAGCCAGGCATCACAATCATTTAAGTCAATTCCTTGTAATAAATGCCTTAGTACACATCTCCACAGGTTCTGATTCTCTGGTTGAACCCTGAATGACCTGCCATCTTATCATATGCAATGTTTTGACATATCAATGGAAATCTTTTTTGAATGCCCTATATTCTGTTCCATTCATTTGACTTTAAATCAAGTTACTTTTTGTGTGCAGAATATATCAATTTTTAGTAGGAATTTATTAAATCATCTCACTAGAAAGTAGATACGAGTAGTAAAATACCTCACTAGAAGAGAGAAAGATTTCTTTATAATTTTGCCAAATTTTTATTTATATATATTGCGTTGAGGATCTGTCAATATCACTAATTCAGTCTTGAGTAAAACAAAAACCTACTAACAGTTCTTTGAAGTGAAATCGTAGGTCAATTTAGAGACCATTCATTAAGTATTTCCCCACTGGAGTCTTGCCTAACCAGCCTAACCTACTGATCAAAATACCTCTTCCAAGGAGGGAAGATGAGCTATTTATGTGATCCTCTCTGATATCCAGTGAAGGTTTAATATGCTGTATACATTACTGCCCAGGTCCCTTTGAAAATCCTGCCTAATTTCTTTGAACTATTATATTTCAGTTTAAATGTTTTTTAATTTGAATTTTATTCTAAAATAGAGCTGTGGAATCTTTCTCATTAGAAACACCTAAGAAATTCTAGATTAAGTATAAAAAAGTTTAAATATATACATATAATCCCAATATCAAAAAGGATCTTAATTAATGTCTATTCAAATGACCCATCTAGAGCTATGTGGATATACATCTAACAAAGTGATCCTGTAAATAAAGCAGGAATACCTTTGGCATGAGAAGTTCACCAAGGGAGGGAATGTACTCAACCGTTTCTCTTGTTGGAAAAGTTCTTCCTTAGATTGCACTGATCTGCTTTACTACAGTATTATCTACAAATAAGCCCTAGTTTTACATTGTAGGGCTAAACCAAAACTAAATCCTCTTTTAAAATATCTTTATCCAAGTCTTCTGATTCTGTCTTCTGAAACCTTTACCAACGGAATTAAACCTCGACCCTCTTCTATGTCTAGATAAGTGTAGGAAGTGGTGAGAAGTAGAATGAGACATTTCAGCTTTTCAGAGAGACATTCCATGTATGACCTTCAGAAATCTAGGTTGCAAGTTTAGCTGGGCAAATTTAGATGTACTGAAAGCACTTTTAATTGCCATTTCCCATATAAGTTAGGTACTAATACCTGCTTTTCCATCTTATAATGTTCTTTTGAGAATCAAATGCCAGACTGCTTTTAGAATAGTTTATATAATTAAGCATTTAATAGATAACATTTGCAAATTGTTTTCTGACTTGATTTTCACACACTCTATGATTTTGCCATAAATACATTATTACTCCCACTTCAGAGATAAGGATAATAAGGTTGACATAAATTAAGCCAAGTGACTATGTGGAGCTTTAATCACAACTTGGAGTGCTTTTGGGAGAAGACTCTTGGTTCTGCCCTATCTCCTGCGGAGGTGCCAGAGACCATTCTTTTCAGAGATCCACCTGGCCAAGGCTGGGACCTAAGAAGGACATCAGTAGCAAGTATAAAGCACTGGGCAAATATGCAAGAAATTATTGTCTAAAATGATTACATCCAGAACTAAAATATGAGCAGGAAGGCAGGAAACAATTGATAATTCTATGATTTTTACAATGTATCAACCTAAGAGTTCAATTAAACTTCAAATTCAGTATAAGGTTTTTCTTTTAATTAAAAAAAAGTTCACATTTGTGGGTTATTTATTTATTTATTTATTTTCTTAATTATTATTATTTTTTTTAACGTTTACTTATTTTTGAGACAGAGAGAGACAGAGCATGAACGGGGGAGGGTCAGAGAGAGGGAGACAGAATCTGAAACAGGCTCTAGTCTCTGAGCTGTCAGCACAGAGCCCCACGCAGGGCTCGAACTCACGGACCGCGAGATCATGACCTGAGCCGAAGTCGACCGCTTAACCGACTGAGCCACCCAGGCGCCCCCTTAATTATTTTTTTTAATATATGAAATTTATTGTCAAATTGGTTTCTATACAACACTCAGTGCTCAGCCCAAAAGATGTCCTCTTCAATACCCATCACCTGCATTCCCCTCCCTCCCACCCCCCCATCAACCCTCAGTTTGTTCTCAGTTTTTAAGAGTCTCTTATGCTTTGGCTGGCTGTCTCCCAAAATGTTCACATTTGAAAGAAGAGGTGTCTTCAAAAGTTATAACAACGATCAACATGAACAAGCAATTTTTTGAGCCCCAATCCTGAGAGCTGATACCTAAAGAACTTTCAAAACATTATCTGTCTGTCTGTCTATCTACCTATCTATCTATCTATTCATTTATTCACTGAAGATAGGGTAGAGACAAGCCTGTCTGGAATCTAAAGCTTTTTTGTGTGAATATTTCTAAACATTGTTTTCTAGGATGTGTTTCCTGAGTTGGGCCAGTAGAAATTTTAAATAGCATTTTTTAAAAGAAGTAGGTAGGAAAGCTTTGATTTAATTTCTCCTAGAGTTAAGCAGCTCCTTTCGCTGCTAAGCTAATATTCAATTTTTATTATCCAACAGAAACCTTTTTCCATTGTGCATTATTCCACTTTATGTATCCCTTTATACACACAAAATCACACATTCATTATCTGTGGTTGGCAACACATCACCTACAGTTTAAGAGCTAGGAGTATAGGTACTCAGTTCAGGCAGAATTAGATTTGAAGTTTTACCTCACTGCTCATTAGGTATGTGACCTTGAAAAACTTGTTTGCCCTCCTTCTTTGTCTAAGTTTTCTCATCAATAAAATGAGAATATATGCATAAAAATTGTTACAAAGACTAAATTTGAAATATATATATGGATATATGTATATATACAGTGTTTTTATAGAGGTTTTTCAGCTTC